ATAACAGCGAGTACTGCAGTGAAGCACTGCATCCAGTCGGTGTAAAAAATTTTTTAAAATGAATATTACAATACGACCACAAATGGAAATATCTGTGGAAAGCCACCGTCTACTTTAAGTCATCAACTCGGCACATTAACTCATAGTTCAGAGTAGTTAAGCTTATTTTTTTCACCAAATCTGCATGTTTTTTGAAACATTGATTCTTTTTCCAGCTACACCATGTCTCAAATTTTAAGCTGAACCATACTACGTTCTCGATAGCATCGATCTTTCAAAATGCGTATTTATGAAAATATTTCAGCATAGATCGCTCTTATAGTCCTTGATAAAAACTCAAGGTTAATTTATCGTTACGTGTAATGTCAATTGGGAACGCTGCACTGTAAAAGAGATGCGAATTTCTGCTACTTTTCGCTTTCGGGAACTCGCTTATCACGGTTGAGTGACACGCTGAACTGGCGCAGTTTTCTTCATACCGAAGCATTTGCAACACATTCATAATCGGTGAATAAAATGAGAGTGGTGATGACGGAGGAAGTAAGCACGCTTTCCGTCCCATCTCTGAATCTTCAATAAGTTCATATTTGAAGTTACGGTTATTTTAGCCTCTAAATTGTAAGAGCAAACATAGTGGTTAATCGTAAAGTGGATTAATGTAATGTTATGCAAATTCCTGCTGTGCAATTTTCCTTGTTTTTTCTTCTCTACTGTAGAAAGCTAGAGTAGTGAATGGAAAAGTGAAAGTGAAGGTATACTAAATGGTTAACATTTGCTTTCCAGAAAATACTTTAAAGGCGCACAGTTTGATGAGCGGGTTTCCGGAAAAGGGCTTGTGGCAGTAGTCACAGGTGCGAATAGCGGTATTGGTTTGGAAACTGTTCGGGGATTGAATTTAGCGAAAGTGAAGGTATAGTGTGCTGTCTTTCATAAATATTCTTTCTTTCAACTTGAATCTTTCTGAAGAATCTTTGCTTTTAGGTATATATGCTTTGTCGAGATGAAAACCGTGGATCAGAAGCCAGGATTAAATTAGCCCAAGTAACTTTTCTTCCATTACAAACAAT